ACACACACACACACACACACACACACACACACACACACACACACACACACACACACACACATACACCGAATTCAAACTAACGCATGGCAAAGCAGCCCTTGCAAGACCTGTCGCTAACCGCTTCATTCGTCATCCTCAGGTGGAGCTCACCCTGACTATCCCCGTGGAAGGCCTGGGCGACTCCAGCACCCTGGAACTGATCAACACACTGACATTTAATCTCCCGAACGACACCGACTTTGTGGTGGGGCGCTCCTTCTCCAGCGGCCATCAGCGTTCGGATCTCTACCAGCGAGTTGAGACTTTTCTCGACGGGTGTGTTTGTAGATTTTGCTTTGTGTTTATAGGGGTATGAGATATATTGTTCGATTACCGTATATTTTTAATTTATAATTTAATGAATCGATGACCTGACCACTCTTCAGCATGGGTTACGACGGCCACGCCTGCACCTTGAGAACCATCTGCGAAATCGCCGAGATGCCTTTCGAACACGGTCTCATCGGCGAAATTGTCAATCTCATGATGTCGTAAGTTCCCCTTTTCTTTCTTGCCATTCAGTTGTTTATAACATTAATTATCGGAAACTTTACTTATTTCTCTCATCGACCTTTTTACTGTATTTTCCTAAAATGTCTACATCTGAAATTACTAATTATAGTGATATCAAGCTTTGCTTTTCTGAAAATCATCATTTATCACTTATCTAAAATCAAGAACAGTAACAAGGAAAACAAGACTCTAAACTAACAGATAATCTAAAATTTCGGTAAGTCTCTCCTTGCCATTATTGAACAAACGTTCCATGGAATCTTCGTCCTCTTCAGTGTGACTTCCGGTTCCTCCAACTACCTGGACAGCGACATGGGCGACGAATACTCCTTGGCCGAGTACTACGGACACAACCACGGCTCCTGCTATTCCATCTATCCCAACTGCCCCATTTCCGTCACTAATCTCTTCTCTCGTGCTGTTCCTACTTTCTAAAAAAAAAAAAAGCGGGGAGGAATGTTCTTCTGTTTCCATTTCGTATTTAAGCGCATTTCACCATGTTTTTGTTGGACTTGCTCGTCTGTTGTTTCTTTTATGTTTGTTTTTCTGTCTGTCTTTCTCTGTCTTTATCTCTACCTCTGCTCCTGTCTCTATATCTGTCTGTGTCTGTCTGTCTGTCTCTCTCTCTCTCTCTCTCTTTATCTATCTATCTATCTCTCTATCGATTTATCTATCTATCTCTCTAAATTCTCGTGTCAAATGTTAAACATGATTTATCAGTATCAATGCATTTTAAACTGTTATAACGTACTGTACAGTCGATTTGTCTATGGCAAAATTTCCATCCATATTTCAGTATGTCCGAATTAATTGTCTCTTTGCCTTTAACATAATATCATTTTTTATTGAATGAATGCATTGATAAAGTGTCACTAATAATTTGATTCAAGTGTTAGAGTTTGTTGCAAAGTATCTTTCGCTCAGGAGGGAAATGGCATTTTTGTTTAATTTCTGAAACGGCATCCAACTGGCAAGTAACTGTACGATGCGCATTTGTTCGAAGTCCATAAGTTTTATTAACACGAGAACGTAGATATGGAAATCAACTTTTTCTACATCATCCAAATACCTCATATATTGTTGTCAAAGTGTCATCCGCTTTACGTGTTAAGTTTTTGTTATTCAGTAATTTTATAAGCTATATGTTGTTGGTCAGTATTATTTATTGAATATTTATTATTAGTTAGATATTAAAGAAATTTATTGCTCATTCTAGACTGTTATGACTGTGCTACCTAAATGTTCATGACATTTTTTGACAATGACAAAAGAAAGAATAACAACATAACATATAGTATTCTTTGCGTAGCCGATGAGTTTGAATTCACTTATCTTCTTCTTATAAAAGTTTATCCAAAACCATAAATATGCTTTGTTTCATATATACACAATCGTGTTTTTGCGATTAACAGCTTACTCAAAAAAAAATTATATATATATAATTTTGGTTTTAAAGTTGAACATTTTTAATAATATGCATTTTCTTACCAAGTGTTCTAAATTTACAATACAGTTAAAAAGTTGAATAGCTAAATCTGAATCAGTCATACTTATCAGTACAAATGTAGTTAATCAAACTCTTCCAAACTTTGAGATTTCTTTAGTATGTCCTTCATATAAAAAAGGTTCTTTTGTTAAAAAAAAAAAAAAAAACTGAAATGACTGTGCTTGAAATCTACGATATCCGACTCTTCACCATGACTAGCAGACTGACATCGATATTCGACAGACTTGGCAATAAACACGGTTATTGTTGTACTTTATGTTGTGACAGCTAAAAGGACGTGTGTGTACGGCTGACTTCTTGACATGTTAGTTTAAGAATAAAGTTTTTTTAACGGTGTATCACTCTCTTTATTACATCCCTGTTTGGCTTCTATGTCATGGAGATGATGGTAAAAGATGACTAGATATGAAATAATACATCACACGTATATACACGCAAATA